CATACAGAAAACTACAAACAAGCATCACCTGCAAATATACAAAAATTATCAGCAAACGGAATCCAGCGTAATAAAAGGTTTACACACTCTGATTAACTGAGCATAATTCCAGGAATGCAAGGATGGTAAACACGACAGGGCAATCAATGTAATAAACAGAATAAGGACACACACATAAGTCTTTAGAGACATAGCAAATGCATCTGAGAAAACTGAATATGTCTCTCCCCTCAAACACAAGCACATAGAACTCCTAATAAACATGACCAGAAAAGATCTTCACCATGAAACACTTCAGTCAAATTCTTCACAGTCAAACATAAAGCAAAGATTCTAAAGTGTACACAAGAGAAACATCAGACTATATTAAGAGGATCTCCAATTATAATCACATCTGAATTCTCATCAGAAACCCAGTATGGGCTAGGAGAAAGTGGTGAGATCTATTCCAAGCCATAAGAGAAAAGTTGTCAACCCAGAATACTAAACCTTGCAAAGCTCTAATTCATGAATGAAGGTGAAATAAAAAATTAGAGGGTGCTGGTGCTAGTCCCAGCTGCTCCTCTTCCATTACAGCTCTCCGCTATAGCCTGGGATATCAGTAGAAGATGGCCCAGGTCCTTGGGCCCCTGCACCCATGTGGGAGACCCGGAAGAAACTCCTGGATCTTGACTGGAACAGCTCCGGCCATTACGGCCATCTGGAGAGAGAACCAGTGGTTGGAAGACCTCTGTCTCGACCTCTCTCTGTAACTCTTTCAAATAAATCTTCAAAAAAAATTGGTTCAACGTAGATACAATGGATTGATTCTCAGAAGGAAACAAACCGCTAAAAAACTCCAGTAAAACTAGAAACTCTGAATATACTTACTCTTTCTTTTTTTCATTTATTTTAAAAACAGAGTTATAGAGAGAGGTAGGGACAGAGAGAGGTCTTCCATTCGCTTGTCTGAATATACTTATAATTTGGAAAGAGATTGCTGTAGCAGGAAAAAAATTTAAAAAAAAAATACATGAAGAAAAGTCCAGGTCCAGATGGTTCCACAGGAGAAAACTCCCATTTAAAGGATAATTAAAGTCCTTGATTCGCAAACCCTTCCAAAAAGAGAAGAAGAGTAAAAACATTCCATTTTATTCCAACAGACCACTATTAGCCCAACATCGAACACAAACAGATCATAAAGAAAATGGCACACAAATATCCATTATGAATATATCCCATTCCTCAACAAAAGATTACCAAACCCTATCCAGGAGTACAAAAAAGGTTTGCATACTCTGTGCAACTGGGAGTTACTCCAGGAATGCAAGGATGGCTTCCATATGAAAATCAATGTATCATAGAACAGAATCAACATGGGAAAAGCCCACAAAGCACCCCTATAGACAGAGAAAACCTATTTCACAAAACTTAGTTACCTTGAGATAGTAAAGAAATCATCTAATTAGGAATGAAGGCCAACCTTGGCCGGACAATGGTCTGTCATGAAAAACGCACACAGCACAGCATCACACCGAATGCAGTAACCAGAAACCGTCCTCGGAGCCCAGGAAACAGACAAGCATGTTCGCTCCTACTCCTGGGTCAGGGGGCTCAGAGGTCTAGAGCAGGGCGGCTGGGCCATCAACAAGGACACAAAGGGGAACACGGGCCGTTCTGGGAGCAGGCAGAGCCACCTCTGCTCTCCACAGCTGCTCGCACACTGGGCAAAGTTCCAGGGTCCGCACAGCACCACCGCGACTCCGCCCATGCCCTGCTCCCTGCAGGACCCCAGAGCAACAGGCAAGGTGCAGAGGCCTGGCCCAAGCCAGCAGGGAAGCCCCCAGCAGGAACCCGGGACGCCCCCCTCACTCACCACAGGGAGCCCCGTTGTGCTTGCTGGACAGAGGCCCGCGAAGGCCTTTGCTTCAACGCCGCCTCGGGCCTAGAGCAGCTAGGCTCACCCGTGGGAGCCGCCGCCCAGCTGCCCTGCTCCACCCACGATGCCCCCTGCAGTTCCCATGGAGCACCCAGGAAGCCAGTGGCCTCGGTGTGGTGAGGGCGCTGTGGCCTGCGCTGAGACCCAGCACACACAATGGCTGCCTCCACCCACCCGGGCCGCCTGTCCTGAGAGGGGAGAAACCGGAAGTTCCCAGGGCCACTTCCCGGAAGCCAGTGGTGCCCACGAGGAGGAGGCAGTGGCACTGCAGGGGCTGGCGTGGGGGTAGTAGGTTCAGGCTCCACCTGGGGCGCCTACATCCCCTATGGGCACCAGTTTGAGTCCCAGGGCTCCACTTCTGATCCAGCTCCCTGCTAATGGCCTGGGAAAGCAGTGAGAGATGGCCCAAGGGCTTGGGCCCCTGCACCCACATGGGACCTGGAAGACTTGTGCGGCCATTTGAGAGGGATCCAGCAGATAAAGACTCTGCCTTCCAAATAACTAAGTGAAACTTAAAAAAAAATAAAGAAATGAACACCTGTGCATGGAATTCAAAATTTTTCATACCAAATAAACTTATCTCTCTTTCATTACTGCTTTTCATCTGAAAGGCTCACCACACACACACACACACACACACACACACAGACTTGCATCCACTTCACTCTCCAGTGTCTGCAATAACCAGGGCTGTGTCAGGCCGAAGCCAGGACCTGGAACTCCATCTAGATCTCTCAGATTGGTGGCAGCGACTCCAGTACTAGAGCCAGCCATCTGCTGCCCCCCAGGGTATAAACTCCCAAGGAGGTGGAAGAGGAGGAGAACTGGGAATTGACCCTGGGCACTCTGACATGGATGCAGGCTTCCCAAGATGTAACTGCTGTGCCAGGGCCCATCCTAAACTTCTCTTTTAAATTCATTGTTCTCGGGGCTGGGATCATGGCACAGCAGGTGAAGCCACTGTCTGCCATGCTGGCATCCCTTACGGACACTGGTATGAGACTTGGCTGCTCAACTTCTGATTCAGCTCCTTGGGAATCTGTCTGAAAAGCAGGAGAAAATGGCCCAAGACTCTGGGCCCAGATGGAGTTCCAGACCTCAGCTTTCAGCTTGGCCCAGGCCTGGCCATGTGACTATTTGGGGAGGAAACCAGTATACCAGTGGATGTAGGAAGACAGTTTCTCTCTCTCTCACACACACGCACACGCACACACACACGAACACACACACACACACAATCCAATCTGTAGCTCTGAATTCAAATACACAAATAACCTTAAAAACATAAAATCAAATAGGGGCCAGCATTCTGGCATGATGGGTAAAGCTGCCGCCTGTGGTGCCAGCATCCCATGTGGGCACCGGTTCCGGTCTTGGCTATTCTGCTTCCAATCCAGCTCCCTCCTTGCCCTGGAGGGCAGTGGAGGATGGCTCGGGTGCTTGGGTCCTTGTATTCCTGTGGGGGACCTGGGGAGGCTCCTGGCTCCTGACTTCGGATTGGTCTGGCTTTGACTGTTGCAGCTACTTATGGAGTGGACCAGCAGATGGAGGACCTCTCCCTCTCTCTCTCTCTCTGTCTCTCTCCCTCCCTCACTCCCTCTCTCTTTCAAATAAATACCTATTTTAAAAAAGCAAATTGATAATAACATTACTAGGTGAATGATATTCAAAGAATTCAAAATATTCAGTACATTTTCTATAAAATCTAAAAGACTCTGGGGGCAGAAATTTAAAAAAGAAAACAGGAATCGCTCTTCCTAGATCAGGAAGAAGACTAACGGTTTTGCTCTTGTTACTTCTGATCAACATGCTGTAGTGCTGTTAATATAACAATACTCCCCGAATTCCCTACACAAATCACACAATTCCTTCCAAGCTCTAGTGCCCTTTCTTCAAACTTGATGTACGGATGCCAAAATTCATACAGAGAGGTAAGGAACCCAGTAGGAGCAAAGCAGTTTTGAAAATAAAAGATACTGTTAGAAGATTCACATTTCCCAATATCAAAACTTAGTCCCAGGGCCTGTGCGTGTGGCATAGGAGGTAAAGCCGCTGCTTGCGGCGGCTGCATACCAGGCGGGCAAGGGTTTGAGTCCAAGTGCTCCACTTCTGATGCGGCTCCCGGCTACTGTGCCTGGGAAACAGCAGAGGATGGCCCAAGTATTTAGGGCCCTGCCCTATGTGTGAGACCTCCATGAAGCTCCTGGCTTTGACCGTCCCAGTAGCCACTGTGGCCATTTGGAATGAACCAGTGGATAGAAGAACTCTGTCTGTCTTAACTCTGCCTTTCAAATTGTCGCTCCCCCTCTTCCTGGAGGAATGACACAGGACCCTGCGTTGTTCTTTTCTCTGCTCGGCCCTTCCCGGGTTTGCTGCTGGTTCTTCCCGGGTTGGCTGCCGTCCCTTCCACCTCCGTGGAAGGGCAGTTCCCCCTGCCACATTCCCCACTTCCACGGGGAGCAGCACACCGCCGGCCGGCTCTCTCGGGGGCTGCACAGGTGTTCCTTCAGATAGATGTTCCTGGTGCATGTTGTCTCTCTCCTCCTTTATAGTCCTCTTCCACCAATCCCAACTCTGCTGCCCACACGCCGAGTACGCTGCTCTCCTCCAATCAGGAGCAGTTCCTACAGTATTTTGGTTGAACTGGAGGCAGCTGTGTAGAAGCTGTTTCTCCCTTCTCAGCGCCATATTGTGGGAGAGCAGATGCATAGAATAAGTCTTAATTCCAGTAACTTAGTCTAGTCCGGGTTGCTCCCCACACAAATAAATCAATCTTTAAAAAACATTAGAAACAAAAAAATGGTCTTCAGCAGTGCCACTGCAGGCAAAAAAGGAAGTGAAAAGCAACCATCCTGGGAGAGGCAGAATCACCCCTGTTCTCCCCTAGCATGAGCTCACATTCAGAAAAGTGCTAAGCAATCCACAGCAGTGGTAGAACTCCCATGCAATCCACAGCAGTGGTAGAACTCCCAGCATGCCCAGCACAGCGGCAGAATCAAAGAGCAATATGCAAAGAAGAATGGCATGGCACAGGCTGACAGGGAGGAATCACAAACGGAAACTAGAAGTCTTCCTCACTCACCTTAAAAGGTCTCTATGCTGGATCAGAGAAACAGGTCCACGATTTTCCACTTCGCACGCTGCTTCAGCCCAGAGCCCGAGGCTCAGGCAGAGGTAGCAGCCGACCATGGACCTGAGAGCAGCTGGGCCCGGTGGCTTCCATGGAGCACCAATGGGAAGCAGCTGGCTGCTGGAAGAACCACCACACATGGTGCTAGGTACAAAGGCCTTGGTGAAAACGATCTCAAACAAGGAGGCTGCACACACATTCCCTGGGGAGGAATCCACCCCATGAGGGACACGCCCTGGAAGCAGGACTCGGAAACTCACACACGACCACTTCTGGCAGCCAAGCTGTCAGAGGTGCCCAATGGAGGAGGGGCAGGCAGGTGACCACCCGGTCCCTCAGGGAATCGGCTTCTGGCCCCCAATGCAGTTTTCCTCTAGGCATTCACACTGACACTGACCTGGAACATGGAGGTCACAGAAGTCCCTGACAGCCACGATTCCAGAAAGATGAGCGCAGAGATGACACTGTCTTCTGGGGTTCCCATGCCTAACACAGAAAAGTAGGACAATGACAGCATCAAGGAGCAGAGCAAAGGGATTTACATGGTGCTAAGAGTTCCATAGTTCATGTGAAATGGATGGAAACAATGATTCTAATTAGACTGTGACACAGCTAAGAAATTTTTGCAAAAAGAAACAAAAAACTTTTTGAAAGAAGAAGGTACACTCAGCTGGGATATGTAAAATGGGGTACAAAGAAATGTCCAAGTGACACAAAACAACGCAGACAGCAGGAATGTGGGAACAAAACTAGAACAACGATCACTGAATCTGAGTCCTGGTCCTAATGCCTCTGATAGAGACTCACGCAGGCCACAGTCTCTCCCCTTAGCTTGCACTCTCTGTCTTCACCTTGATGCAGAAGTCAACTCCTTAGTGAACATGACCTCATTAAATTCCGGGAGCAGCACAGGCCAGACTGGCCCCAACGAGCCCACATCACAAAATCCCCAATTCAACCAGACTCTCTAGGTTAACATCTTCCTGCTGGCTCCCACTGAGATGCTTCTCAGGAAGCCCAGGTCCTGAGTGAGCTTTGCAACAGCCACCCCCTCACAGACCCAGACACTCAGAAGCCCACTTTGCCATCCCAGCCTCCTCAGAACACACTGGCTATCTCATTGCTGACCAGTCAAAAAGCCACGAGCACTGCAGACAAGCCAGAGAGGCCTGCATGAGCTGGTCCTTTACTGTTCAACTTTCATCTACAAGACTCACCACCCTTAATCTCTACGGGAGTCTGATAACCAGGCAACAGCTGCCTTTTTACTCTGTGCACTACAAACACACACCCACCAGCACCCCAGTGCCAACGACTGACCTGCTGTGTGTTGGGGGAGCAGACTCACATCATGGGCTTCTACTGAAAACCAGGTAATAACATGTTAAACGGAAATACATCGATAACTACACTGCATGTCAATAGCCTGAGCACGCCAATTAAAACAGAAAGACTCGGGGCCTGCACAGTGCCTCGGCGGGTTCAAGTCCAGGCCTACAGTGCTGGCATCCCATATGGGTCTCCCAGCTACTCCACTCTCAATCCTGCTCCCTGTTAACGCACCTGGGAAAGCAGCAAAGTTGGCGCAAGTCCTTGGGCACCTGCACCCTTGTGGGAGACCTGGAAGTAGCTTCTGGTACCTGGATTTGGATAGGCTCAGCTCTGGCCATTGTTGCCATTTGGGGAGTGAACCAGTAGATGGAAGATCTCTCTCTTTCTCACTATCTCTACCTCTCTCTGTAACTCTTTCAAATAAATAAAATAAATCTTAAAAAAAAAAAACAAACAAGCACAGACATTCTCATCAGAGATCCTTGTCATCCTTGGTTAGATTTATTCCAAGACTTTTGAAGTTATGGATGGGATAAATCTTAGAAGTTCTTTTTTTTTTTTTCATTTGACAATTAGAGTTATAGAGAGTGAGAGCGAGACAGAGAGAAAGGTCTTCCTTCCATTGGTTCACTCCCCAAATGGCCACTACGGCCGGCGCTGTGCCGATCTGAAGCCAGGAGCCAGGTGCCTCTTCCTGGTCTACCATGCAGGTGCAGGGGCCCAAGCACTTGGGCCATCCTCCACTGCCCTCGTGGGCCACAGCAGAGAGCTGGACTGGAAGAGGAGCAACCAGGACTACAACCCTGCACCTACATGAGATGCCAGCACCGCAGGTGGAGGATTAACCAAGTGAGCCATGGCGCCGGCCCCCTATCTTAGAAGTTCTTTCTCACCCGTGGCATTGCTTGTATATACAAAGGCTATTGACTTTTGTGTGTTGATTTTATATTCTGCTACTTTACCAAACTCTTCTATGACTTTCAAGTCTCTGATGATTGGAGTCTTCTGGATCCCCTATATGTAGGAGGATACTCTGACATCACATAAGCTCCAGTTATTTCTAAGTGCTCCCAAAAGATGTATCATTCTTGGGTGCGTCTTTAAAGTTATTTAAGTTTCTCAAAATAAAAAAGGGAGTGAAATTAAGTTTGAGGGGCCGGCGCTGTGGCACAGTGGGTTAATGCCCTGGCCTGAAGTGCTGGCATCCCATATGGGTGCCCATTCTAGTCCCGGCTGCTCCTCTTCCCATCCAGCTCTCTGCTATGGCCTGGGAAAGCAGGAGAGGATGGCCCATGTCCTTGGGCCCCTGCCACCAGCATGGTAGACCCAGAATAAGCTCCTGGCACCTGGCTTCAGATTGGAGCAGCTCTGGCTATGGCGACCATCTGGGGAGTGAACCAGCAGATGGAAGACCTCTCTCTCTGTAACTCTTTCAAATAAATAAAATAAAGCTAAAAAGAAGCAAAGCATGAAAGACATGATGAAATGAACAGACCAGCAGTCACAAGAGCAGTATGGATACAGTTGAACAAAAACGCACCATCAATCAACTGTGCATCTACTGGGCACGGAGAGGATGCTCCATCCCACAGCAGCAGGCTCTACACTCTCTCAGGCCCACACAGAACGTTCACACTGACCACCTCCGTGCCTGTGAAGCACACGTCAACACCTAAGGAAGAACAGGAGTCACAGGAAATAAGCTCTCAGTCATAATGGGATCCAAGTGAGAAGTCCGTGACAAGCAACTGGAAAATCCCAAATACTTGGAGATTAAGCAAAAACCTCTATATAACGCATGTCTAAGGAGTAAGTCTCAAGAGAGAAAGAAAAATATTTCAAATTAAATGATGGTGAAATTATATTTTGCCAAATTATACTATTGAATACATCTTTTAGAAAACAATCAAGATCAACAAGCTTGGCTTTCATCTTAGAAAATCAGAGGAAGAATTGGGCAGGGGTCTGTCGCGCTGTGGGGGGCATAGCAATCTGGAAGGTGTTTTCCCGCGTCCTGGGGTGGGTGGATCAGCAATCCCAGCCCCAAGCCCACACAGGTGCTTCCATTTAGAATCCGAAGGCATGGGCCAGGCGGTGGGAATGGAACCCAGCACCTCCATGCAGGTGGAGCTTCCTCAATGCACAGAGCTACCAGCTGAGGATGGAAGCAGAGAGTGGCTTGTATAGGTTCCTGGCTACTTCTCCCTTCCACCTCCTGCTGACTCAGCTCACCCACCCCTCCCACTCCCCATGCCACCCACCTGGGATCAAACATTTCCCTCCCTCCCCCTTGCTTCGGCCCTGCCTGCCCATTTGGGCCTTTGTGGGTGGGGCCAGCAGATGGGAGGGGTCTCAATAAAGTTTTAAAAGCAGTTAAAAAAAAAAGAAAATCAGAGGAAGAAAATGAATTTAAAATAAGTAAAGTAAGTTAGATGTAGAAATCAATGGAAGTGAAAAGAAGTACAATTGTAGAGAAAACTACTATCCCTAAACTCTGAATCCTTGGAAACATCAACAAAATTCATGAACTTCTTGTCAGGCCTAACCAAGGAAAAAGGAAAAAACAAGTATAAATTATTGATCCTATAAATGAAAGAGGTGACATCATTACTGACCCAATGGGAACAAAAAACACAACAGAACAATAATGTGAACAAAAATTTGACAAAATAAATGAAAAGAAGCAACATACAATGTACCAAACAAAATTCACACAAGGAGAACTAGAAAATTTGCAATGTTCCATAACTATTAAATACATTTTATCAAAGGTTAGCAGTGAAGAAACCAAGCCTAAATGGTTTTGTAGTGAACTATATACCAAATTTTTAAGTGTTTACTTTGATACATTATTTATCTAAAAGCCAAAAGAGACTGGGAGAGAGAATGAAGCTGTCATGTGTTCCCTCCCCAGACAGCCACAACAGCCAGGGCTGGGCCAGGCTGAAGCTAGGAACCAAGAACTCAATCCAGGTCTCCCATGTAGAGGGCAGGGATCCAACTACGAGAGCCATCACTCACGCCTCCCAGGGTGCACAGTACCAGGAAGCTGGATTGGGAGCAGATCCGAAATCAAACCAAGGCGTTCAGACATGGGATGCAGACATCAGAGTGCTGTTAACACTACACCAACATACTTCCTCTCCATCAATCATTTTTTAAAAAGGCTAATGTTCCATGAAGTGTTCAGGAAGTAGCAAAGGAATACTCATTCTATGATGCAAGAAATACCCTAATGTCAAAACAAGGTAAAAACACACACACACAAAACCTCCAGACCAGTATCTCTCATAAACATGCATGGAATTGTCCTCACTAAAATATTTACAAGTGGAGGCCAATACCCTTTGAAAAGAATCCTACAGCACAACCAGCAGAGCTTATTCCAGGTCTGCAAGGCTACATCGACATGTCAAGTACCAGCCAGTGAAGTACATCACATCACCAAGCTAAAGAATACCATCATCACGTGGTGGGCTGAGACAACATCAGACAACATCCCACATTCTCTCATGACACAACCCTGAGCTAACTAGGAACAGCGTGGAACTTTCTCAATCTGATAGGGAATGTCTACAAAATGTAAATTTTACATTATATTTCTAAAATCAGAACAAGGCAAGAATGTCATCTCTCACCACTGATTCAGCACCACCTGCTGGACACTCTACCTCATGCAATCTGAGAAGAACAGAACATGAAAGCTGTATGAACTGGATAGGAGAAAGAGAATGATCTTCGTTCACTGGTGAAATGGTATCATACACTATAAATCTGTAAGAATAAGAAAAGGAAGGAAGGAAGGAAGGGGAACGGCAAGAAATTCTTGGAATTCATATGCTATTCTAAGAAGGTGGCAGGACACCAGGCTAGGATGAAAAAGTCAATTGTAGGGCCAGCTCTGTGGCGTACCAGGTAAAGTCGTGCCTGCAGTGCTGGCTTCCCATAAAAGAACTGGTTTGAGTCCCAGCTGCTTCACTTCTAATCAAGCTCTCTGCTATGGTCTGGGAAGCCATAGAAGATGGCCCCAGTCCTTGGGCCCCTGCACCCATGTGGGAGACCCGGAAGAAGCTCTTGGCTCCTGACTTCGAACCTGCCCAGATCCTACCATTACCACCATTTGGGGAGTGACCCAAAAGACAGAAGACACCTCTCTCTCTCTCTCCCTCCCTCCCTCTCTGTAAATCTGCCTTTCAAATAAACAAATCAATCTTTCAAAAATCATAAAATATAAAGTCAATTTTCCATATTAACAACAATGAACAATGTCGGGATCTGGTACACTGGGTTAAGTGGCTTAAGCCAGCACCCGTGATGCCAGCACCTCCCTATGAGTACTGGATTCGATCCCAGCTGCTCCACTTTTGATTCACCTCCCTTCAAATGTGCCTTGGAAAGCAGCAGAAGTTGGCTCAAGCTCTTGGGCCCCTGCCATTCATGAGGGAGACCAGGATGGAGTTTGGCCTCATAGATTTGGCCTGGACCAGTCCTGACTATTGTGACCATTTGGGACGTGAACCAACAGATGGACGATCGACCTCTCTCTATAACTCTGCCTTGCAAATAAACAAGGAAATCCTTAAAATCGACAGAACAACAGAAACAATGAGCCATGAAAATGTGAAATCACTCTGTGAAGTTCTCATTTATTCAACACTGACCTACGGGTTCACTCTAATCCTAACCAGAGTGTCAGCATGTTCTTCTGTGGATGTCAACAAAGTGACTGAATGTCAAACAGAAGGGCAAAGGATGCAGAAATCTGTATCACACTGCAGGGAAACCAAGAGTAAGAACTGACACTACAGCTCCACAACCTACTGTCGAGGGTGGGTATCTCACCTGGCATTTGGTTAACAGGCTGGATAAGACAGCCAGCCCCATAGGGAAGTGCCTGGCTTGCAAACCTGGCTCCACCCTTGACTCCTAATTCCTGACAGTACAGATCCTGGGAGGCAGCAGTGATTGCTCAAGTGAATGCATTTCTGCCACCCAATGGGAGAGCTGGAGTGAGCTCCTACTTCCCAGCTTTGACCCAAATTCCAGACACTCCAGGCAACGGAAGACTGACCCAGGGAAGGATGAACTTGATCTCTCTCTGTGGATCGAACACGAGGGGCAGGTGGTCATCCTGGCAGGGGACTCACCAGTTTGGATGCCTGCATCCCAGATTGCAGCACAGGGTCTGACACCGACTCAGGCTCCTGACTTCCGGTTCCTGTTCATGCAGGCCCTGGGGGGCACTGGTGATGGCTCAAATGACTGAGTTCCTGCTACTTTGGAGGACACCTGGATTCTCTTCTGGCTCCCACTATTGGCTTCAGCCTGCTCCAGCTGTGGTGGAGCTGCAGGGAGAGAACCAGATGATGAGAACACTATCTATATACTGATCTCTATTTCCACATCTATTTCTTTGTCTCTTTCTGCCAATAATTAAAAAAAAAACAGTTCTATATTGCATGTTGCCAAGTATATTGCCTTCTGGAAAAGTCAGAGAATACAGACACGGTTCATAGACCAGAAGTTGACAGGGGTAGGGAGAAGGGTGAATGGGTGGAGCAAAGTGGATTTACAGGACACTGAAATACTCTGTGTGTCACTGTAATCATGGACCCAGAATGGCATGGATTTGTCAGAACCCACAGAATGTACAACACAGAGTGAACACTAATGTAACCTATAGACAGTACCTAATAATACTGCTGTATCTCCACAGTGGATCAACAACTGAACCAATATGTCACACTCAAGCAAGATGTTAATTCGACGGGGGACACACTGAAACTTGGGGACGATACAAGAGGACTCTCTGTGCTGTCTACTCTGTTCTCTGCAACCGGAAACAGTGCTGAAAAACAATTCCACTGACTGACCAAATAGGACAACTACAGACTGGGAGAAAATATTTGCACATCAGATACTTTAGATAAAGGAATTGAACCGGAAACATAAAGACACTCAGGATGCAACACTAACAAACCAAACAGCAAAATAAAAGGGAAGAAATATTAAACAGACAATACACAAACACAGACATCAAACAGCAAATAAAAACCTGAAGAGATGCTCCATGGTATTCCTCAGTAGGGAAACCTGAATTCCTGTAACAGTGAGATACAACAACCCATTACAATGGTTAATACTGACAAGAAGGAAAATGATACCAAAATCCTGGGGAGAATATAGAGCAACTAAAAGACCCACACATTCCAAGTGAAATTCCAAGTGCAACACTTACTACTTCTGTTCATTTGTACTTATTTATTTCAAAGGCAGAAATCAGAGAGACAGAAAGGCCTCCACACTGCTGCTTCACCACCCAGAGGCTCCAAACCGATGAGGTAGGACCAGTGAGAACCCAGAAACTGGGAATTCAATCTGTGTGGACTCGTCCTGTGAGGCCAGCACTGCCGGGATGGTAGGACGGCTGTGTTCTTCGACAAGAATCACCAGAGACAAGTTTGGTGAACATGTCCATGTAAACGACCAAGCATAAGCTTTTAAAGGGCAGGCAGAGGGGGCATAGCTAACTCAGGGCAACACTAATTCTATATGATAAAGCTGATATTGGCGCCACTGCACTCCTCCATTCAGCTTGAAGGTCACTTAGCCTAGGTAGCCTTCCAGATGGGCCAACATGGTTCTACTCATGCCCTGTGGGTGTTCGGCTATAAAGGGGAGTGCTCAGTGATTGGCAATCACAAGGCTCTGCAACAGAAGGGGGGGCTGACGGAAATGTGCCTGGGGCTCCTTCCACCTGCCAGCAGTCAGGTTAACCTCCTGCATGGGCTAGGCAGGCAGTGTCCAGTCCAGGCACAGGATCACCTACAAACCTGAGTCTGCTAAACACACTTCAAAATGTTCAAGACGGGCACAATGGGGAAAAAAAACTATACAGAGATTACAAAGTTGTGCTGCACCAAAATAAAGCTATATTTCAATCAGCTAATGCTTCCAGGACTTTTTGAAGCACCTCAATGGAATGGGAATGGACAGAGGAGATGTTCTGGGGCCATCAAAATTCTGAAACTTAAGAGAAACATTGTGTTTAATGGTGCAACTTAGCACCCTCCATTGCCAGGAAAAACTAGGATTCCAAGCAGCAAGGAAACATTATGACCCCCAGGATGCTCAAACACACACACACACACACACACACAAATACATACACACACCCAAACACCTGACCCAGAGTGTTTATGGTTTCCCTCAATTGACCCAGATGTCCAGTCGAGACTCAGGGAAGAACTAATGGAGGGAAAGTCTCACTCCCAAAGCAGGAGATGAAACTACAGCCCCACAGAGGGTGCCGGCTGCAGCTGGTCCAGGCCAGGGGTTAGGTAAATGGTGGCCCGAGGTGCACAATGTGACAGCAGGTGAGGTGGTCGAGCTAGAACAGACCACTGCCATGACCTCAAAATAAAGGCAGCAAAATCCAATGCGACATGGCTAAAGAGATAATGAAATGCACAATTGTAATGGAAGACGTTGAAATCTCAATAACTGACCACACAGAGTCTGTAACGAAATCCAAAATCATCAGCAATTGATTGGACTCCACTGCCATTCAGAAAGCACTTTCAGGGTCGGGGCTGTGGTGCAGCGGGTTAAAAGCCCTGGCCTGATACGCCGGTATCCCATATGGGTGCCAGTTCTAGTCCCGGCTACTCCCCTTCTGATCCAGCTCTCTGCTATGGCCTGGGAAAGCAATAGAAGATGGCCAAAGGCTTTGGGCCCTAGCATCCACGTTGGAGACTCAGAAGAAGCTCCTGGCTCCTGGCATCAGATTGAGCACAGCTCCAGCCATTGCAGCCATCTGGGTAGTGAACCAGCAGATGGAAGACCTTTCTCTCTGTTTTTACCTCTCTCTATAACTCTGTCTTTCAAATAATTAAAAAGAAAAAGAAAACTCAAGATACATAATTTCAAATACACATAAATCTCTTCCCATAATGACTATGTTCCAGGTTCCAGAGCATAACTCAACAATTTTATCAATATCATATGAATTATCTAATATCATGCATAGGTTCTTTATAACAATAGAAGGAAAATAAAAATCAGTAACAAAGATAACTGGAAAATTTCAAAATGTTGAGAAATTTGAAACCACAATTCTAAATAACATAAGAGTCAAGAACCAAGTCAAAAAAAGGTAAGGGGGCCAGCACCGTGCCTCACTTGGTTAATCCTCCACCTGCAGCACCAGCATCCCATATGGGCACCAGGTTCTAGTCCCAGTTGCTCCTCTTCCACTCCAGCTCTCTGCTGAGGCCCAGAAAGGCAGTGGAGGATGGCCCAAGTGCTTGGCCCCTGCACCCGCATGGGAGACCAGAAGGAAGCCCCTGGCTCCTGGCTTCAGATCAGCAAAGTGCCAGCCATGGCAGTCATTTGGGGGGTGAACCAATGGGAAGGAAGACCTTTCTATCTCTCACTGTCTAACTCTACCAGTGAAATTAAAAAGAAAAAAGAAAAAAAAGGTAAGAAAAGACAATCAAAAGAAAAGAAGAAGAAAACACAGCATCCTCACACTTGTGTGATGCACTGCTGGAGAGGAAGTCAATGAAACCCTGCTGGGGGCAGGTGTGTGCACAGCACTGCGGATGCTGCTGGGGAAGCCTGCATCGATGGTCGAGAATGCCCAAGTTGAGGTCTGAGCTCTGCTTCCAATCCAGCTTCCTGCCAATGCAAGCTTAGGAAGGCAGCAAGTAATGGCTGAACTCACAATGAAATCCCCACTCTTGGCTTCAGCTGAAGCAGCCTCGGTGGTGACTGGCCTTTGAGGAGTGAGCAAGAGACAGAAGATCTGCCTCCCTGTCTTCAACCACTCACACCTTTCTAATAAATACAAAGTTTAAAAGCAATAAAGGCAAGGACTGGCACAGTAGTGCAGACAGTTAAGCCACAGCTTGCCCCACCAGCATTCCCTATGGACGCTAGTTCAAGTCCCAGCTGCTCCACTTCCAATCCAGCTATTGCTAATGAGCCTAGGAAAGATGCTAAGGATGCCCCAAGTCCTTGAGCCCCTCAATCCACAAGGGAGACCTAGAAGCTCCTGGCCCCAAGCTTTGGCCTGGCCCAGCCTTGCTCACTTAGGCCATTTGGGGAGTGAACATGCAGATGGAAGGTCTCTCTCTCCTTCTCTCTGTGTATAACTCTGCCTTTTAATAAACAAATAAAAGAGCTTATAAAAATTTAAAAAGTACTAAGTGCTTATATTAGAAAAGAAGTACTCAGGGCCAGCGCTGTGGTGCAGCAGGTTGACTGCCATGGCCTGAGGCGCCAGCATCCCATATGGGACTTTTCTAGTTCCAGCTTCTCTACTTCTGAACCAGCTCTCTGCTGTGTCCTGGGAGAGCAGCAGCAGAGGACCCAAGTCCTTGGTCCCCTGCAGCTGCGTGGGAGACCCGGAAGACGCTCCTGGCTCCTGGCTCCTGGCTTCAGATCAGCACAGCTCCAGCAGCTGTGGCCAACTGGGGAGCGAAGCATCTGATGGAAGACCTCTCTCTCTACCTACCTCTATTGCAAAAGACACAATTAGTTTACGCATCATCCTCTATGGCAACCATGAAACGAAGCCTTCCCTGTACAGGACACTGGATGGACCCTGCAAGGGGGAAGGGGGAGGGGCTCTCCTGAGGCTCCCAGCTCCTGGCAGGGCAGGGAGCAGAGGGGCCAAGGTTGTGCATGTGGGCTCACCCGGTGGAGCTCTGTCCCAGGCACACGTTCCCACGGGGTCACTCCACATCCTCCTCTCCTCAGCCTGGGAGGACATTTCTGCTGGCCTCTTGACATGAACTTCTGTTCCACAATAAGCTTTCCACTTCAGTTCCCTGTGACGTTCTGAAGTATCCTCCTGTACCTACTCAAGACATTGAATCCAGTCATAAATCCTCCGACAAAGAAAATGAAAAGCCCTCCTAGCCAATACGACTTCACTGATACATTCTACCCATACACTTCCAGATATACAAGATGGAATACTCATCTTATGTAACCTGAGGTACTTTAATAACAAAATCAGAAAAATATATTACAGGAACAGAAACTATGCACTAATGTCCCTCATAAACAGAGAACTCTCCAAATCCTCCAAATACAGTCAAATAAAATCTAGTAACACTTTAATGTATCATGAGTAATTGAGGTTTCTCTCACAAATGGAAGTGCATTTAATCCTAGAAAAACCCATGCATGTAATTCATATGTGAGTGGCTAAAGAAGAAAAATATGAAAGATGTCAAGAAATTAGCCCAATGCTGATCCAACAAAACAAATAAAAATCTACGGCAAGCATCACACTTAAATGGTGAGAGACAGTGGAGAGAAGAGTTTCCCCCAAAGCTCACATAAAAGCTGAGGACATCTGCTGTCATTGCTCCTACCTGACATCACAGCAGTGAGCCCACTTAGTGTATTAAGGCAAGAAAAACACAAGGAAATAATACAGAGCTGAAGGGGAGATGGTAAACTCTGGATTTCCTGAAGACATGATTATCTACAAATAGTTCCAAAACCATTTTCTCAAAAGCTACCAGGAATAATAAATTATTTTAGCAAGACCATGAGGGGAAGAAGGGCAATGTAAAAATATCAACAGGAGGGCCAGCACGGGGGCACATCGGGTAAAGCTGCCACCTGCAGTGTTGGCACACAACATGGGCACTGGCTCGAGTCCTGGCTGCTCCACTTCCGATCCTGTTCTCTGCTGTGGCCTGGGAAAGCAGTGGAAGATGGCCCATGTCCCTGGGCCCCTGCACCTGCTTGCCAGACCTGGAAGAAGTTCCTGGTTCCTGGTTTCTGGTTTCTGATGGGCTCAGCAGTGGCCATCTCAGCCATCTGGGGAGTGAATCAGCAGATGGAAGACCTGTCTCTGTCTCTCTTTCCCTCTGCCTCCACCTCTGCCTTCAAATAAATAAAATCACCTAAGAAAAACCACTTATTAGAAAATCCATTGTATACTACCATCCATGAATGAGAAGACACTGATATAAAAATTAAAATAGCAAAATAAAATGAAAACTCATAAACTCCATGAATAAAATACAAAATATGTTGGCTGAACACTAAAATGCTGATGAAGGAAATGAAAGAAGATCTGCATAAATACGCTGTGTGTAAGATTAGAAGACTGAATATTATTAACATACCATTTCTCCTAAAATGGTCCTATAGGTTTACACAATCTAAATAAAAATCCCAGCACGAGGTTTTTGAGAAATCCACAAAACTTTCTGTAATTAGGAAAACCCACGACAATCGACTATCAGGTCCATCATGAAAAACAGGAACTGGGTGAAATGCCAATACTGTATTTAAGACATACAATAAACATACAACGACCAAGACCGTTTGGGATTCATGAAAGAATAGAAGGTCACATTTCAATGGATTAAGATAGTGAGTCCAAAAATAAACCTCATGCCACAATACATAAGCAACAATTGTTAAAACTACAAACAAAAATAAACAAATCCACTATGATACCCACAGATGTCCAGACATCTCTTTCGTTAACAGGTCAGCATTTAGACAATCAGTAAGGATGGAGCTGAACAGAAAAGCGCCTACATCGACCAGGTGTCAAACGGATCCTTAGAGGGTGCTCCATCCACGGCAACAGAATACACACTCTTCTCAGACCCACGCAGCACGTCCACTCTGACCACGTTCGTGGGTGTAGAGCAGACCTCAGTCATAAGAAGAGGCAGCACACACGTAAGATCTCAGATCACACAGGAACTACATGGGAAGTCAGTAAGAAGCAGCTGAAAGACCCAAACACTTGGAGAACAATCAACACACCTCAAAATAACACGTTTATAAATCTCAAATGAAAAATATTTCAAATTCAAGTGAACATGTATCCTGCCAATTTATATTAATGACTACATATTTTAGGAAAGAAGAACCAAGATGAAGGAGCTATGCTTTCACCCTAGGAAATCAGAGGAAGAAAAGCAATTTAAACACCTCAAGCAAGGTGAAGAAAATAAATAGTGAAACTCAGATGTACAAGTCCGTGGAATGGAAAAATATACAACTGCAGAGAAAATTGACAAAACTAAAATTGGGGTCTTTGAAAACAGCAACAAAATTCGTGAACTTCTTGTCAGGACCAACCAGGAAACAAGGTGCAAATTACTAATATTGTTAATGGAATGGTGACACCAGGACGCTCTCCATGGACAAGATAACAAGGGAATGGTATGAACCCTGTGACCAAAAATTTCATAAGATAATGAACTGTGCAAATTCCTTGAAATACAGATGTACCGAAATTCACAAACAGAAATGAAAAACGTGAGTGGTCCCACAGTAAGTTATAATTTATAATAATTATCCATAACAATTATAATGTATAATAAAAATTATTAAGTTACTAGTTATTAAATAAACATATCCTGTTTCTGCTCAGCTAAAAATAAACAGTGGGCAGAAATGTATTTACGGGGACCTGCATTGTGGCACGGCAGGTTACAACATTGTGGGAAAATTGTCATTCCATAGAGGCACCGACTGGATTCCTGCCTGTTCCAAATTTTTTTGTTTAATATTTATTAATCTATTTGAAAGACAGAATGACAGAGGTAGAGACAGAGGAGCGGGAGGGAGGGAGAGGTGTCTTCCATCAGCTGGTCCACTCCACATTTGGAAGAAACAGCCAGAGATATGACGATCTGAAGCCAGGAGCCAGGAGCTTCCTCCAGGACTCCCACAAAGGTGCAGGGGCCCAAGCACTTGGGCCATCTCTACTGCTTTCCAGGCTGAAGCAGAGAGCTGGATCGGAAGTGGAGCAGCTGGGACTCGAACCGACGCCAGGATGGGATGCCAGCACTGCAGGCCAGGGCTTTACCCACTAAGCCATGGCACCACCCTGCCCCGCCCAGCCACCAACCCACCCCCAACCCCCCACCCCTGCCACCAAGCCGTTCCACTTGGGATCCAGCTGTCTGCTAACAGCCTGGGACAGCAGAGGAAGCGGCCCGAGGACTTGGGCCTCTGAGCCCACATTGGAGACCGGATCAGGACCTGGCTTCTGCTTGGGCCGGGCCCAGCCCAGGCCGGTGTAGCCATCTTGGGGTGAACGGAGACATCGAAGCTCTCTCCCGCACTGCCCCATCTATAACTCCGCCTTTCACACAAACCTTCCAAAAGAAGGAAAACGAGGACGTCCTCTGAGGCGGCAGAGCCCGGGGGCAGGATGGACCCGAGCGCAGAGGGGCTCCCGGCTTTCTCTGAGTCCGCGTCTCCCGGGTGCAGGCGGTGTAAACGCACCAGAGGCCGTGCGCATTCACTCGGGCGCCGGGCCGTGTCCTGCACACACGTCACACCTAGAGCAGCCGGCCCAGAGAGGCCGACCGGGCTCCTGCACGGACGCGGCCCAGGCTACTTCCGGCCGGGGACAGGAAACCCCAAACCGGAACCGGGCCGGGCAGGTTCTTGTTCTCCAACCGCCGCCCCGCCCCGTACCCGTCACTCCCCTCCTCCCTCTCCCACGCGCACGGCTCCCCCCTCCCTCCCCACCTCCACGTCCCTTCTCATTCTGCCCCTCCCCTGCCCACCTGTCCCCGCCACTCCCACGCACACCCCTGCCCGCTCTCTGCCCCCACCCTTCGGGCCTGGCCTCTTCCCACGCACACCCCTGCCCGCTCTCTGCCCCCACCCCCGGGCCCGGCCTCCTCCCACGCACACCCCTGCCCGCTCTCTGCCCCGCACCCCCGGCACGGCCTCCTCCCACGCACACCCCTGCCCGCTCTCTGCCCCCCCCCCCCGCTGGCCTCCTCCCACGCACACCCCTGCCCGCTCTCTGCCCCCCCCTCCTGTCCCTGCCCCCTCCCACGCACACCCCTGCCCGCTCTCTGCCCCCACCCCCGGCCCGGCCCCCTCCCACGCACACCCCTGCCCCTCTCTGCGTCCACCCCGGGCCCGGCCTCCTCCCGCGGGAGCCCAGCGCCCCGGCCCTGCCTACCCGGTGACAGCAAGGCCTCCTCAGCTGACCACACCCCGCGCCCAGCTCCCCCAGAGAGGACCTCGCTGTTCCTCAGGGCAGGCATGGAGTCCTGAGGGTAACGGCCGCCTCAGCCGCAGCCTACCTGGCCCCGGCCTGACCCGGGGCGCTGGGTCTCCCTCAGGCTCGGCCAGCAGCGTCCAGGACGGCTCCTCAGGGCCTGCGCTGGCTCTGGGCAGGAGCGGACACGGCGCTCACTCCCACCTGAGCACCGCGGGGCAGAGCGGCCATGCGTGCAGATGCACTTCCGGGTCCAGCGCCTGGCGCAGGCGCACTGCACACGGGCGGCCGCCATGGGGTCACATGACACATCTGCACGCTGCTGCATCAGCCATCTGATGCCCAGGGCCGCGTCCAGTCCCGCTGCTCCAGGCTGTGACCCAGGGAGGAGCCGCTGAGGGCCCAGGTCCCTGGGACCCGGCCTCCCTCCCTCGTGCGAGTCCTGATGGAGCTCCTGTCGCCTGGCTTCTGCCTGGCCCAGCGCTGGCCATGGCAGCCGCGTGGCAGAGGAGCAGTGCGTGAGGTCGCCAGCCTCTTTCTCTCTCTGAGAGGGCGTCCGTCTGGGTCCCCCCCCAGGGGCTACAAAGGCCAGGGCTGGGCCAGGCCGAAGCAGAATCAGGGCTTTTACCCAGTACTCCAGGGTGGGGTCAGAGGCCTAAGTCCTGGGCCGTCTCTGCTTTCCCAGGCGGGATCCCAAGGGGACCGGCTTCGGGGAGGGCCGGGCTGTGGGGTAGCGGGTAAAGCCCCCGCCTGCAGGGCCGGCCTCCCATATGGGCGCCTGTGTGAGTCCCGGCTGCTCCACCTCCGATGCCGCGCTCTGCTAGGGCCTGGGAAAGCAGCACAAGATGGCCCAAGTCCTTGGGCCCTGCACTGTCTCAGGAGGCCCGGGAGGCTGCTGGCTCCTGGCTTCGGATCTGCTCACCTCCGGCTGCTGCGGCCTATTGGGGAGTGGGCCAGCAGGTGGAAGACCTCTCTCTCTCTCTCTGCTTCTCCGCCTCTCTGTGTGTAACTCTAAATGTCAAATACATAATTAAATCTTTCTTTAAGGTTAAGTAAAAAATAAAAAAGGAAGAAATAGCTATAAATAAAACACTTCATCAAGGCCAACTACTAGAGTGTATTTAAAATTTTCTACTATATACATAACATACACTGTTAACGCAGACTTTTAAAAAGAACTTAACTCAGTCTTTGAAAACATTTTGGTACCCATTCATTCTCTTCTTCCTTACAAACGTGCTGTGTGGGATTATTTCTGACTTACATGAGAAGAAATCTTTGTCATCTACTTATTCAGACACTTATGGACCCACTTGTACAAGGACCAGAAATACCTGTGCCCACAAAATTCTCTTCTGAACACAGGTCTGCCCTCCATAGTCTAGCCCTGCATTTAACCTATGGATCGTGTTTTACATAGGACAAATCTTGTGTCTCACAAACAAGATCTAATACATAAAGGTAGCATCTGGGGTCACTGTTGACATTTTCTACATGGACTTTATAATGGTGGTATTTTTAGTCTCATTTCTCAATATTCAAATATGGCTTAATTTTAATTTTGGTATAATAGAAGAAACTGATTCATGTTTATACTGGAAGGTGGGATTCTTTGGCTATTTAGACAGTTGCAAATTTCTAAAATTAAGGATTTTGTAATGTATATTAAACAGTTACATACTGTATTTCTAAAAATGTATTCCAACAATGCTGGTATTAAAAAATGTTTTTCTTGGAATAATAAATAAATAAATAGGTATGTATATACTTGCACACGAGAACACAGAAATGTGCACATACAGACATAGGATTGCCCTCCCCAAACACCTGACTCCAGAGCTTGCTGGTCACCATCACTTGACCAGAAGGCTCAGGGAAGACCTGATGGAGGAGGAGGTCTTGGTCCCAAAGCAGGAGGTGAAACTGGAGCCCCACAGATGGTTCGGCCTCATCAGCTGGTCCTGGGCACGGGCAGCTAAATGGTGGCTCCAGGTGCGGAATGTGCCAACAGCTGAGACTGTGGCAGTACCAGAGCAGACCACTGTGCAGAATGGCCAGGTCATGATGAGGACCCCTGGGCATTTCTGTGCCAGCAGAGACGTCAGGGGAGATCCCAGGCATCCTGGCCCAGGGCCAGCAGCATGGGCACCAGGGGGGGACAGAATCCCCAGGCCCTGGCATGAGGCTGTGATGGCCCTGTGCATCCCAGGGCCTCCAGGACACCTCCAGCAGATAGGAAGTGCTGTCGATATGAGGAGCAGGTGTCCAAGGAGGGGAAGGTAGATAGGGACAGAGAAGCCCAGCTCTGATTGGATGCCGCTGTCCCAAGTCCCTCAGTGGTTGGCCAGGCTCAGGGCATCCATGTGGTATCCAGGTGGCCAGGTCTTCTTCCAATAGAACATAGGGGCCCTGCTCTCCAAAATGGGTGAGCAGTGCACACCCACTGTCCTGACACCCAGTCAGGAGGCCTGGGTGTTGGAGGTCCCTTGCTGAGAGCCCAGCCACCCTTCTGACCCTGCTATCTCATCCCATGCCCTTGATACCTGTGGAGCTCACGGTGTGGGGACGCCTGTGCGTCGACCTCAGTGTCTTCATGGCCAGAGGCCGCACAACTCGTCCCCAGACTGTTGGGAGTGGCAGAGTTCCCGACTGCTTGTTGATTCCGACCTCCCCATGTGCCAGCTCTGCCCAGTGTGCAGAGAATTCAGACCGCACCCCTGCCCCGGAACTGAGGCCATCCTGGACATCAGCACAGGAAGTGATGGCTGCCTGTGGGGAGGGCAATGAGAGAAGGAGAGAAAGGAAGCTGTGATGACTGGGACTTTTCAGGGCATTCCTGGGAGGCCTCCCTGCCCTCCCATCTGGGTAGAAAGTTCTAGATGGATAAATCAGTGCTGACTCAAGATGGGTCAGCTCAGGTGTGACAGGGACACTGGGGTGGGCCTGGGCTCCCTTTGCTCATGGTCACCAGCCCCTCCCTTCCCATCTGAGTCCCCTGGGAAGAGAGGATAAAGCTGGTCCTTCCCTGGCCCACTAGGGAGGTAGAGGTGCCGGTTGTGGTCCTGTCCTCACCTCTCCATCTCCCTTGCTTTCCAGTGAGCAGAAGTTGCCCCAGGACAGCACCCTGGGGGCAAAGGTAAAGACAAGCCCTGGGCCATGGGCCAGTCATCTGGAAGCAGAGCTGGGTGGAGGGGGCATGTGGGGCTCAGCAGTGGTTAGTGGAAGTGCATAAGGTCCTGCGATGCGGTACTTACACGGCACCTGCTGACATCTTAACACACTCACCTGTCCCAGAACTGAGCCACAGCTCAGGGGCGTCTGCCTGTCAGCCACCATGATTCATTGGCATGGTTGGGAGTGACCTGGCTGGAGCTCAGGGGCTCTGCCTTGAGCATGGGGCAGCTTGAGTCAGAGGCCAGGCCACCGACGCTCCCCAGACAGAAGACCTGGGGCTCATGGTCTGTGTCTTTTCTGGTTCCTTCCTTTGAGTGCACACAGAGCTCCTGAGCTCCATCTGAGGGCCACTCTCAGAGCCTGAAGCTGGGCTCACACCATCCTGTCTTGTTTTCCAGTGCAAACAAGTGCGCAGGATCCAGAAATGGGTGAAAATGATAAAGAATCATAGCAAATACCGCGGCAGCGAGAAGGTACCATGGAGCTGAGGGCCCCTCAGGAACACTGAGAGCTGAGTTGGGGTTTGAGCAGTGCCCATTCCTGTGCCAGGCACCGCATGCCTCTCAGATGCCCAGAGGCAACTGTCCAGCCCCCAGGGACACAGGTCATGTGCACCCCTTCCCCATACACGCAGGACACTGTCCTGGTAGAAAATCTGAAGTCACTGCTGAAGACAATCCCGGATGCAGGGCAGGTGTGGTTCCAGGAGCCCTGTAGGGGGCAGTCAGTGCAGGGCGCAGCCGGTGCCCCTGAGCCCTTGGCTGCCAATCACTGTGGGTCATAAGGCCCCCATCTGGGCAGATCCTCCCTCTGCCAATACACACGGAGCCCCTGGCTTCTCCCTCCCGCTGTCTCACCCTGTGCTCCCTCCCCGAGTGGCCACGTTCACCACTCACCAGAGCCTCCTCTCTCCTGTAGTTTCAGCAGAGAATCTACAAGGGCATCCCTGCCCAGGTGCACGGGAAGGTGTGGGCTGTGATGCTGGAGGTGGACAAGAAGAAGGCCCAGAATCCGGGCAAATATGCAGTACGGCTCTGCACTCAGCCCAAGGGGCCCTGGCCTGCTCGGGCCTGGTCAGGAGCCTGAGTCTCTGTGGAGGACCGTCCCTGACTGAGCCCTCAGGAGCCTCCTCCCCATCCTGCCTGCTTCTCTCCCTAGATTCTAGTCAGTGCCTCCTCCACGTCTCCCCAGACCCAGCTGGGACACCAGCGCACAGCTGTGAGAATGGGGGAACTTTGACCACCGAGGACGCCGGGTGCTGGGGAGAACGTGAGGCGAGCCCCACTCTGGTTCATTGCAGGAACAGAGCACAGTGGCCCAGGCCCCCGGCAGCACCCAGGGCCGTTTCTCACAATGAGAGACACACACCTTCCACACGAACCCCCAGCACACACACACATTCACACAACTACTAGAACAGCTGAGTGCAAGAAAACCCTCATGAAAGATTCAGGGTTGTGTTCACAGTCACTGGACGCAGGCGTAGCCTGCACGATGCTCAGTGGGGAAACGGATAAGCAACCCGTGTCACAGCTGAAATCTAGAACGGGATTCAGTGAGAGGCAGGACGAGGCTCAGCCCTGGGCTCACCTGGATGCATCTCAGGTGCATTCTGCTAAGAGAGGACGCATCCCTCTAAGACTACACGTGCTATGAGCCACTCACAGGACGTCTGCAAGAGGCCAAACTCCGGGACACACAACAGGGCAGTGGTGGCCACGGGCTGGGGGAGGTGGGGCGTTTGGCCACAGAGGCTCATGGGGAACACATAGGCCACAGGAGCTGCTCCCTATCAGAATGAACGTGCATGGGAGGCTGACTCTCCATGGCTTAGACCCACGGGACTGCACCTCCCACAGTGGGACGCTCACCTGTGCAATGAACACCCACCTGGGGAAACGAAACTGCACGTGACTGCACCCTGGGGATGTGCATGTCCCTGCAGGCAGCGCTCACCCACACGGTGGACCATGCGCAGGTGCCCTGACGACGTCACTGCTCATGAGCAGAGTGTCACGGGTGCTGCGTGTAGCTGTCAGGCTCTGTTAGGCAGAGCCACACTGAGAGCCTCGGCAGCACAGGACGCACA